GCCCGCCCCGCTGCCTCGGCCCCTCCTCAAACTTGGGGGCCTGGGAGGGGTGGAGGGGAGCCAGCCCCCCTGATGGCTGATGGGGGACACCCCCTCATCCCTCTAACAGGGACTTATTTAAAGGGAGCGTGCTCCGCTGAGGGACTGGCGGCCCGTTCCAGAGCAGTGCTGGCCAAGATGCCTCCAGGCCCGCACACTCCACACCTGCTGTGGGCCCAGCCTGCGCTGACCCTGTTTCCAGACGGGACAGTGAGATGTGGGGAGATGCGGGGGCTCATGGCTGGGCACCTGACAGCACCTCACTCAGCCCCCGTGGCTGCCTCAGGGGCCCACAGAGCACCCCCAGGGCTGAGCCTCAGGGGCCCAGAGCACCCCCAGGGCTGAGCCTCAGGGACACAGAGCACCCCCAGGGCTGAGTCTCAGGGACACAGAGCACCCCCAGGGCTGAGCCTCAGGGGCCCAGAGCACCCCCAGGGCAGCACAGAGCAGCACTGACATCAACCCCGAGGCAAGGCCACTCCCCAGGGGCTCACAGCACATTGTTTTGCTTAAACCAGAGAAACCCCCACGCTAACTTCCTCCGCACCCAGCTGTTGCCTTTCTACCAGAATCCCCGGGACCCTGCTGGTGGCGGCTTTTAGATGCCCTTGACACTAATGCTTGTGTCCTACAAACGCTCACATCCTCTCCATTCAAGGCCCAGCGAGCCGATTCCGGGTGAGATGGCCGCGGAGGCTGCTGAGCCGGCTCAGCTCGGACACCAGTTATGTTTCCGGCATTGAGAGGCTATGCCCTTCCCAGACCCACCCCTGGCCATGAGGCTTGCCTGTGGGAGCCACCCCCCCCCCCACGCCGGGCACAGGACGTGGTCTGGCCAATCCTAACCCCCCTCCTGTGCTGTGATGAGCTCAGAGGTGGGCTCAGAACCCAAGCCTAGGCCCTGGGCCAACTTCAGCATGAGCCCCGGGGGGTGGGGGGGAGACCTCCTGTCCGGCTAAGCTGGCAGAATGTGGGCCGGAAGCGACCGCTGCCCCAGGAGGGGCGGGGCTGCTGGGAAAGACCAGGACAAAGGAAGGACGGAGAAACAGGCCTGGAGCACAGATGGATCCGAGAGGAGGCTGAGGACAACCTTCAGGTCCCTGGATCCAGCCGTACCTGAAGCCCACCCCCTTGACTTTTCTGTTAGAGGCCAACAGGCTGGGTGCCAGTGGCAGATGCTAAAATAAGGACTAGCCCAGCCCAGGGGAAGCAGGACAGCGATGTGCCTGTCCTTGCCGCGGGCGGAGGCCTCGCTCCCGACAGCCCCGGGCCGAGTGCCTGTGGGGCAGAGCACCAGAGAGCCGGTCTGAGTGGCGGGCTACCTGGGTGGGCTTGCCGAACCACTTCCAGAGCTGCCGGGCCGGCAGGAAGGCGGCAATCTTGGGCCGGTTCTCCACCGACGGCAGGCGCTGCCGCTTGGCCAGCTCCTTGGTGGTCGGGAGGTGGACGCCCTCCCTCTTCTTGGGTCGGCTCT